AGATTGAGAAGAACACCCGAGACTGAAAATGACTTGGTCTTGCTTTCTCATCCTAAGTATTTATATCAGGTAGATTCAAATAGTTTTAAAGAGAGTCTTCTACTTGGATTCCTTTTAAGATTTCCCTTCCTTTCTGCTTCTATTGTATATCTTTAACTGACTAGGATGATTTAGTAGTACTTGACTCTCAGCATGTTAAAAAGATATTCAAGGCTCCCCTTACATGGGAAGACAAAAAGCAGCTTTAAGACGCTGGCAGCTTTCTCATCTACATACGAAAGCAACAAGAAAAGAAACAATTAAATGGCACAGCTTCTCCTGGAGCTCTCAGACCTTTCTATCATCTTCATTTTCCCCTCCGTGATTTACGCGAGCCTTCCTTCTATGTTAGCCTGGCTCACTTGGCTGCATCATTCCCCCAACCCTCCCAAGGCAGGCAGAGCTGCCGCTGAATTCAAGCCTAATAGGGTTCATTGCAGGAAGAGAAACCAATTTTGGTTTTAGTGGGATATCTACGGCTGAAGCAGTAAATTCAATATTCATTGCCCTGAATTGACTTGGACACCAGTGCTATGTTGCTGAAACTCTTGGTGAAGTTTGATTTACACCAGGCAGTGCAGAACTTGTTCCACACGTCACTAGGACCATCTGTCTCAAAGGGAAAGTGTCTCATGAAAGCTGGTGTGGAAGGAACTGTTGATATTCATGAATGGACAGCAAGTTGGGCAGCAAGTGTGTCCTCCTGTGCATGTGCCCGGTAACTGTCATACCTGTGTGAGTAAGAACTTGTGCAGTTTGTCAGTGGATATAAGACTGACGGCCGTGTTGACAGGGAGGAGGGAGGAAGCACTTCTGCCTAGCATAATTCACAGGGGACACTGTTCTATTTGTTTTAGCACATCTGGCAATGCAGATGTGGCTGGAAGAGGGTTGTGGGGGTTTTTTTTGTATCTTTCAGTATGGTTAATTGTTCATTAATATCTCTTAACCTTCACTTTTATGGACATTGAATGCTCTGTTTCAACAAGCACCTGTTTGTCACTCTTTCATCCAGTCTCAGGTGAGTGTTTGGTGTCGTTATTTGAAAAATCAGTATAGATTGAGAAGAACACCCGAGACTGAAAATGACTTGGTCTTGCTTTCTCATCCTAAGTATTTATATCAGGTAGATTCAAATAGCACATTAGGCAAAAAAAAAAAAAAAAAAAGCTGCCTAAAGGGTTACAGAAACAGCATCACTGTCACCTTCAGCTGCAAAAGGGACATTAGCAATGACTGCCCTTCGTACAGCCAGGGACAGAAGGGCTGTGATACATGGTCCTCAGCCCTCCTTCTGTTTGATACGAGCTGGCTCTGCCTCCACATGTTCCCCTTGACCCATGTGCAAACCAGAGAGGGCATTTCAATTAACACTGTGTGGCAGGTGCCATACCTACAGTAAAGGGTAGCTCTCCTGCACACATGGCAGCAGACAAAAGTGGTATTCCAGTATTTCCCACAATTTTGATTTTATTTTTAAGTGTCTTCAAATCATATATATATGGCAGACCAGCAATAAAAGCCTAGCTGTAGACAGCAGTTTCTGCCTAAATTTGATGCTGTCTCCAAAGCCAAGGTGGCTGTGACACACCAGCCAGAGCATGGTGTGAGTTGACGTGTTACGTGCCTATCACTTCCCTGAGACTAATGCTGTGTGTCACAGACTACTGCAGCCATCTCCCACACTTCTAAAAGTAATTTCCACTCTATTAAGTTCTACCCTTTATGGTGTCTGGGAAGCTAAAGACAGGCTTCATTTTACCTACAGTCTTAGCAACTGCCACCAATCTACCCTTGGGTGGGTTATTAAATTAAGGCTATTGAATCAGATTCTTCTGGCAGCTATTTGATGTCAAACCTGGATTAATCCCAAATTTACAGCTGAAGCTGATGGTATTTAGGAACTAAAAGTTGGTCCCTTCAAGTTTTAATTCTGTACACTGCAGGCTGTAGTAAAGATTAGAAGTTTTCAAGAAGCAGCCAGGGCTGGCTGCATAGGACAGAAGTCCTACAGGATAACTTCTCAGAAGTATAGTTTGACCTCCTCACTGTGCTTTGAAATTTCCTGTACAGTGGACTGAGGAGCTTCTGTATGAGAAGGGATGTCAAGCAAAATTACAGTAGCTCTGTTTTTTTCTCTATACTTCTGCTCAATGGGTTCTCTATAGTAGCGTACTACATTTTCTTCCCAGAGCTCCTGATTTCTTCTGGGAAGGGTGACCCAGTTCCTCCGTACACCTGGGATTCCAAAGAGGAGTATTTGGGAAGCAGAGGGATCAGAAGAGATCCGGGTGGTTTACACAGATTTTTCTGCACTTGAACATTTTCAGGCTGTTCCAGTGAAACGTATTGAATGCCAGGGGCTGGGCTCCCCCAAGGGACAGCTGTGTTACAGACTGTGCTGTAGATGTTGGGGAAGTTCAATGCAGTGGCTGATGCCATTTCTGTGAGTCTGGAGCCTGGCTCACTGGGAATGCCTTGCATTCATTAATTTAATTGCACAGACTCAGCCAAAGTGTCCATAAAGTGCTCGGGAAGAGCCAGACATGGGGCAGTCACTGGTGGATTGGGTGGGGGCAGCCTGTGCCCACCTCACCCAGGGCAGGGAATGAGACCTACACCAAGCACGGTGCAATTGGCCCCTTGAAAAGATTTCAGGGCTTGTCCTAACTTTGGACTTGAGAAAGCCTTGTGTCTAAAAGTGGGGACCTCAAGTCAACCAAAGCCTTTGGGCGGTGTTGCTTCCCCTCTGCGAAGGGACTGCACTAACACCCCTCTCCCACCCTCAAACCTTTCATGTCCTTTAAATCCTTTTTTTTTTTTTTTTTAGATTAACTTGTAATAAAGGAAAATCAGCTCTGTTGGGTTGTGCCAAGTGTTAAAAAAATTGAAAGCAAACGTCCCCTAGGTCACTCCATCCTTTAAGGGGCAGAACCTTCCTTCCAGCCCTGATTTCAAAGCCAGCAGTTTACAGTAGTTTCTTGGTCTGTGAGAGGTGTCTCTCCCAGGGCCCCAGAAAGCCCCTTGCTCTCTACCATCAGGGTTGCGGCTGTGTAAGACCACCCTGCTCCTCACCAGTCCCTCCCTGTGCTGCCCTGTTCCTCCATCGCTGCCCACATCTCCCCTTGCTCCTGCAGTGTTCCCACACCACAGGCAAGGAGGTCAGGAATCCATCCTGCCCACCCACAGCTTTTTATATGGCAGTGAATCCAATAAATTCGGTCCCTAGTGCAGCAAACCACATGGGGCCTGGATTGAGACCAGCCTGGGCTGGAGTGGCACCAAGGTTGTCTCAAAGCTCTTTCCATACTGACATAGCATAGGCAGACCCCCGTGCTCAAAGGCATAACTCAGCGGGAAAATTAGCCCATAAAATTATTTCTGATAAAAGAAGCTTATTTTTTATTTAATGTCACATTAAATAAATTGCAAAGTGTAGCAGTGAGGATTTAGTACTTGCGGTGCTAACCATATTACTTAGCATTTATACAGTGCTTCCCTCATTCAGAAAAGCACTTTTGCTAACTTAATTCATCCTCAGCCACACTCCGCATGTCATGAGGGAAGTCAGGAACATTTAATATTCCTGCTGACAGATGAGGACTACCAAAGAAGGGACTGGCACAGTGTTGTTATTTTTCCTCTTCCCCCCTCCTCAGCATCCCACCCATGTCAATTTTTGATGGGTACAGCCCATACTCATGTTCTGGAAGTCCTCACCAGTGCAAGGGGCAGGATCCTGACCCTTTGGTGAGAGTCAGCAATGGTCCTGGCCAGGCAGCCAGTGGGAGCAGAGCTGAAACTGGTGGCAAGCAAGGACAGGTCTCAGCAGACAAGAAGAACTGAGAGAGCAGGTCTAGAGGCTGAGAACTGGGAGCTGGGAGGTGGAGGGGAGGATGGGGATGACGGGATGCTTGGGCTGAGGAGGGCACTTGGATGGCCTGTTGGCCTTAGGCGGGAGAGTATTTGGGACAAAGGCTTGTGGAAGGATTCTGGTACAGAAGGTTTAAAGGTTGCTTTTAATTCTCTTGCTTGATGGAGGTAAGGCAGGACATGGTAATGGGGTTGGGGAAGAGGACGGTAGGTCTGGCATGGGGCTGAGGCACAAGGATACAGAGTAGGTGTCCCTGGAGGTGAGCAACTCGGGGTGTGAGAGGTAGTGCTGGGAAAGGCCTTCAGCCTAGGGGAGCAGAGGCTTGATTTCTGTGTCAGGAGACTTGCAGAGTGGGCAGTGTTCCTGGGAGTAGCTGCCCACCTCTGCACACCTTCCCGGCCCCTAAACATCACCACTGCTCCTCACTCCCGGCAGGACAGGGAGTGCTCCTCCCACCAGCAGACAAATATCCCTTTCCCAGGGGAAAACAAGGTGCCAGGAGAGAGCAAAGAGCCTACCCTGTGGCTTTATGCCTCTCCAGTCCTTGATCCTGTGGGGTGGATACCACAGCCCCATCGCTTGCCCATGTCCCAGGAGAAGAGTCCCAATGACCTGTGTGTTGGTCCTTGGGCACCAGGAGGTGCCTGGGGATGGGTCATGACTCAAGCTGCTGCTCAGCACAAAAGGGAGCAAACAAGGACAGCTACTTTAGCCCTTTAATCATTTGGGATCCTACTTTTAATGAATGTAAATACATCTGTGTGCCAGTTCTTCCCTCCCCGTTGAGCTGGCATAACTCCTAGTTTCAATGGATTTCTCTCGTAGAGACCAAACCCATATATTGCAGTTGTTATGTGAGCCAAATCAATGCTCACATAGATGGCACTTGCTTTTGGAAAGGATAGTAACTACACACTGGTGTTGATTAATATGCTGATTAATGAATGAGATACTGATTAGTGCCTACCACCTCTGTAAACTGACATTTACAGACCCATGCAGTTATTGTAGGGGTGGGATGTGATTTTAAAAAAAAAGAGAACCTGGTAATAAGTTCATTCAGATAGATGTTTTTACCATAAATCAATTGGATATTATGCTACTTTTATTGAAACTTTCTCTACACTTACTTTCAAAGAGTTAAAGTGTCTTTTTTAGAAGTACTCAATTTAACTCCCCTGTAAACTTCTCTTACTTTAATAGTGAATTAAAAATACTATGAGTTAACTTACAGTTTTAAAAATTAATTATAAATCCTTCCTGAAAGATTTCTGTATATATAAATGATTGTTGTAATTAAAAACTTGAACAAATATTTTTTTTAACTTGCTCCTTAAAATACATTGACTCTCTTCTCCATCTCTGCACAAAACATAGATACATGTCCCATTGAAAATTATATTTCTTTTTCTGCAGAGTAACACATACCTATCCAAACAGTGTATTTTGACCCCAAATTGCATTATACAAAAATTAAACCAGCCATTGCCTCTAATATTCTGCACATGGTATATACTCATACTCACAGTATCTCTAGGCTGAAACTGCTCATAACATTTTGCTGTAAACCTGAATTTAATATGAATGAGAGGCTGCTTTAATTTTTTTAGGAGCAGTTCTCCTAACTGCAAAGGCATTGAAGACAGCCTGAGAGACACAATCTGTGCGATGCTGCTCTTTATTGTCACAGGTACAGAGTTCTGATGTGGCAATGCTGCACATTCAGGTCATTGAACATTTACTGATCAGGAAGGACTTTTCAGTCTCTAAAATGATTACGAATGGTTTTTGTTGGAATGCACTCATTATAAGCAGTCTGATCTCAATGGAGTCCTACTATTTTATTTTGGGTAATAACAGCAAAGTCTTACCAACTGTTGATGGAGAAACCATGGGGTTAATTTATATTCATGTTGGAAAAGCAAAGCAGTGCTCCCTCCCAACTCTGACAGATCCCACGAGTCTTTTCAATAGTTGATTGTCAGGTTGTCCCGACCTATAGCTCAGCGCTGACAACAGCTCACGGTTTATTTGCAGCTTTGAAGCCTGGTCCTATAGTGTTTCTCTTCTGACAGGAGATGAATAAAGGTGTCACTGTGGGAGACTTTTAGCCGGCTGCTATGCAAAGGACCCTCCTTGCCTTCCCTCGCAAGATCCTCTAGTTCACTTTTGGAGCTTGCAGCTTTCCCCTCCGTTGAGTTTAGCTCCATCAGTTCCAATTCGTGCTTGGCAGCTGTTTCTAAAACTCTCTGTTTGTTATAATACCTGACAAAGTTGTTAATGATGGGATGGATGGGAAGGGCGATTGCGATCACCCCGCAAAGAAAACTGATGGCAGCGTTCAGTTTTCCTAGTGTTGTTTTAGGGTATATGTCTCCATATCCAACTGTGGTCATGGTAATGATTGCCCACCAAAATGACTGAGGGATGCTTTTAAATAAAGTTTCAGGGTGACTTTGCTCCATGGTATAACCCAGGGCAGAAAAGACAAAGATTCCAACGGCCAAGTACATGAGGAGCAGCCCGAGCTCCTTAAAGCTGCGTTTCAGGGCATAGGTTAGAGTCTGGAGCCCCGAGGAGTGCCGTGCGAGCTTGAAGATCCTCGCAATCCTCATGATGCGCAGGGCCTGGACAGCCTGCTGGACGTTACTCAGCTCCATGAGCTTGGCTCCCAAGTGTGTCAAGGTCAGGCTGACATAGAAAGGAAGTATTGCTAGCACATCGACAATGTTCATGAAAGACAGGGCAAAGTGGAGTTTGTTGGGAGAGGAGATGAGCCTCAGCACGTACTCCATGGTAAACCAGCCTATACAGGCTGTCTCTATGCTGTCCAGGGTCGGGTGCTCCATACGGTTCCCCTCTTCATCTACGACCTGCAGGTCGGGGATGGTTCCCACACACATCACGATGGAGGATATCAAAATAAACAGAAAGGACAGAACAGCGATCACTCGAGCTGGGTAGGACGATTCTGGCTTCTCCAGAAATTTCCAGATGCATTTTTGGCACCTTTTCCAGCGACTTTGTGAGGCATCTACTCCCAAGTCATCCAGAATCAGTTGCACCCTTCGAGCTATTTCTTCCAGTTCCTCCTTTTTTTCACTTAGATGAGTTTTGCAGCAGTCATCCAAAAATTTCAGATCCACTTTCCAAAATTCCATTTCATTCTTGAAACATATGGGGCATATTCCTTTCTTCATGTGAATTTCCCCAAAGTAGTACACGTCAATAATGCATTTGAAAGCATCTGGATCTCTGTCAAAGTAAAACTCTCTCTTTCCGGGATCATAGTCATCACAGAGGGAGAATATGCTATCGTATCCCCCCGATAAACAGTTGATCAGCTCTGCCAGCCGTGTTTCTGGGTATTGATTCAGGTTATCTCCGTAGAACACCTGCCTTACCCCACCGACATTGACTACAATCTCTGTTTCTTCATTTTTTTCTGATCCATCATTGTCTACATCTGGAAACCTAGAGTCACCTGCCATTTTAATTATATTGGATTTTACTTAATTTTCAGCCTGTTGTTTGGTTTCAAAGCTTTGTGGTTTTAATTTCTCATGAAAGCAAATCGGCACCGAGTCAGCTCTACTACAAATGTTACCAAACTGACCCGGAGTGGTGGTGGGAAAGGTTACAGAGATAAACCTGCGGTCAGGAAAGCCTCGTGAGATATGCAACAAGCCGCAGGGAAAAGACAAGTCATCGGGCTGCTGTGCCTGCAAGCAGGATGTTAGAAAGCTCCAGCAGATTTGAAAGAGAAGAAACCATTTAATAAAACTCACCCCTCTGCTCAGTGCTCGAGAGTCTTTTCAGGTCCCATTCTCTCTCTAAAAGTGATATTTATTCACAGGGTGGAAGTCACGGCAGAGAAATAAATCCTGCGCTCTGATTAATGCAACGTGCAGTGAGTGACAGTTCTCAGAGAGACAATCAGCAGGGTGAGCCCACAGAAAACTGTTGCCGTTTCTCTCTTCGATTCCACGGATTTCCCTAGAAAGCTGCTTTTGAATTTTGTTTCTCTGTCCGTTTTCGTTTTACTTTAAGATCTTCCAGAGTTTATCTGCTGACTCTTGCACATAGTCAGTCGGTGCAAGCGTGCAGAGGAGAAACTTGTGCTTGTTTTCCCTTTGCAGTTTCCCAACACAATAGGGAGCCCAGGCTGCGAGGAGTCCTTCCCAAACTCTACCCTCTTCTGGTGAAACCCAGCAAAGCAACAGCTACAAAGAAAACACAGCTCAGCTATTTATATGCCTGCCTAGCTGTAAAATAGTGCGTTTCTATACCGCCATGCACTGTAATGATTTTTTAAAACATTTTTTTTAAATCAAATACAAAACATAATAATGTATAAAGTCATTCTGAGCTGCAGAAAGGCACCCAATCTATTTCTTCTGATGGCAGAATCCAGAGAAAAAATACTGTGTTTTGGAATAAATGCACGACATAAATCTTGCTCTCAGTGGGACTGGAGCTCTAACTCTAGAGTAATTCTCTGTCAGGACATTCAGTTTCTGTAGATTTGTACTGGTGTCATTAAGAACAAGCAGAGACCATAAACTTTTTGGTGCAGCTGCAGAGCAAAACTTTCCCCGCACCCTGCGCATGTTTCCTAAATCTCTCTGTCCTCAGTTTTCACTGTGTTTTCTCAGTCTGCTGGCAGCTGACCCTGGTGGGTGCTTGAGTAATTTACAACGCCTTATGATGAGTTCTTGGTGAATGCTACTTACCAGCAGTAGTGCTTCGTACTTCATCCAGGGCTTAACAAGTAGGAATAAAACAGCAAGCATGTCCTTTTTACTTTGTTTTCTCCAAATGCCAGGATTTGATGGGCATTTGTTCCCCAGACCCCTACGTGCAAGTGGGCCTATCACTGTGCTCTTAAATGCTTGAATCTAACTATGCAGTTTATTTTAGTGGGTCATGAGGGCTCTGATCCAGCAAAACCCACAGTTCATTAGTTAACTGTTTGTGGCCACAGCAGAACAACCTACACCAGCAGGTTTGGATTTTTTCCAATTTAGTGGCTTCTGAAAAGCTTGTAAGTGGAGGGGAATAGAGAGAGGCAAAACAAACTGAGGGTTTGCCTCTTTAGGCTTACGTCCATCCTGGGAGAAAGGTGAGAGCTGTGATGTGTCCACTGTCCTCACGGCTGTGTCACCCAGCAAGGGGGACCCTGTTGAGCATGCTGTGCTCCATTTCCAATCCCTTGCAGGAAACTTATGGGAGATTAGTCAGAGGTTCTGCACCAGACCTCCCCTTGGTATGGAGCACTCACATAGCCTCCACTATCTTATCAATAGCCCTTGGAGGTAGTTCACGATGCTCAGGGGTGCACGAGCCCCGAGTTAAAATCACTGATCCAGCCACCTTCCTTGTCCCTGAGGTCTTGCATGATTGAGGAGAGTAAAAATGTGAGAGGGAAGAGGTGAATTCTTAACAGAGTTGCAAGAAATCCGTAAAGCAGAGGAACAAAATCCTTTCTCTTTGTCACACACATCCGTGCACCAAGTTATAATGCAAAAAACTGAAACCAAGGGGAAGTGGGTTCTTGCCGCTGTGTTATAACTACCCAGTAAATGTAACACCCAGTCACCCGGTGCCACAGTGAGGAATAAGACATGCAAGAACCATAGCTCCATAAACTTTTTCAAATGCCTGGGTTGTGTCACTCAAATCCATGCTGCAGAATAGCACAGAGGGCTAGGAACAATAATTGCAGGGGCTGGTCACCTTATTCAGGTGTCAGTCCCAGGAAAAGGGTAATATCTATTAATTTACACCTGAGTCATACTGTTAATCTCTGGAGGTCAGTGTCACCTTCATGTGTTCCTGAGGCTACCACATAGTGTGGATGCAATACAAGATGTCCCTTGAATTTTTTTTCCAGGCACATATGAGTTTCCTGAGATTTGCAAGCTTCCTGGGACAAGAGAAATATCTTGGATATTTGGGAAAACTCTAGGTTTTGTGGGCTCATCAATAAATATTTCCCCATCTGGGACTTCCTTGACCCTACTAACATGAATAGTTTACCTTGATTTTAGTACAATAAACTTTGAAATGCTAATTTCATTTACGTGCTTGTATGTAATGCAGATGGGATTACTGACTATCAATTCTTGCAAAACAAAACTGAGATCTGGGAAAGTTACAATCAAAATATTGTGAGACTGCATCAGCATCGGGAAACGGGTTCTTTAGGTTTAAATCCTGAGATTTAACCATCTCGGGCACCTGTTCTCTTTGATCAATGACTCATTCTGGTGACCTTTTGGCTTTTCTCCAGGTAACAACAAGAAATCAATGTATGGTCCAGCAGGACCAACACAGAAAGCACCACCTTCATTTCCAAAAAGGCTCTTCTCCCTACTCCTGTAATTTTACAGAACAAACACCTACAAAATAGGCACACAGGATTAGTACGTACATTGTTCAGTTTGAAAGGTGAAATCAGCTCCTCTCAAATGATAAATCTCAGCACATTCTCGGAAGGTTGGGAAGAAACTATTTTTGAAATGCCAGATCAGTCCTTATAAAGACTTTACTTAGTGCGGCTGCTAAAATCCTTTTGCTTTATTCTCCCTCGTCTTGCACCTTTTCAGAGTTCTTTACACCTTTCAGTGTGCCTGTCAAATGTTAGAGATCTGGTAGCATTTTAAATCCACTTTGACAAATGTAAATGATACAGAGAAGGGTCAGGGAAAATCATAATGAATTAAAAGCTTGTTTTTGTAGCTGAAGAGAGTGAGACAGGCTTACTTGATGAATGTTTTTTATCAGACATATCGCAGAGCAGCAAACAACAGGAGCGGAATGAACAATTCACAGCAAATAATTTATTTCACTAATTTAATTCATTTTTCATCCATGAAAAGAGAGCTTCTGTAATCTGAAAATTTCAATAGATAATTGTTGCCCTGTAACTCATTTATAAGCAGTTTGCTGCAATTATTAGGGCTTCTAAATTCAACTCCTGTTGATTTATCTGGACTGGGCAAACAGGTCAAGCCGTGCTCTGTGCCTGCTGGAAGCGATGCGTGCTGGCAAGTGAATTCCTACAGACCGGATAAGAAAGAGGGAGGGGGTTTCGTTCTGTCTCTTTGGCTCAGAGAACAACTCCAGGATTTGAGCTGACAGATGTGTGAAGTTTTGGCTGTTGTTCAGAGTGGCTCCTGTGGGAAGGAGGAGATACGGCTGGACCTCAAGCCCTGCAGCTGAGGGGAGAGCACCTGGGTAGCCAAGGGCAGCCCCGGCCCCAGCAGGGATGGCCAGGATCTCCCGTGGGACACTCAGACCCATGTGGGGCTTGGTCCACAAACCATAGGTGGAGCTCAAATACAGCTCCCAGGCCCTGCATGAGGGATGAGGATGGCACAGAGCACCCACAGCCTGGGGACCTGCAGCAACAGCAGTGCTTGGAGGATGCTGGACCTGCACGTTTGGCTCCTCCGTTTGCCACTTTTTGGGAGGACCTCCACCACTGGGCAGCTTTGTGCCAGTCGGGGAAGAGAGGTTGTTCCTCTTGAGCTCGGCTCATAGCACACTCCTGAAGCCCAGGCAGCACCTCTGCCCTCATGGCTGATGAGCCCAGCGGCTCCCCGTGGAGCTATGGGCAGTAGTGGTGGATGAAAGGGCATGAATGGGTTAGGTGCCAACCCTGAGGAGATAAGATTGGACACCATGTGGAGAGGGGGGGTTAATGCAGAGTCAGGAGTCAGGCAGCCTCTCTGCAAGCAGGCTGCGGTGCAGTCAGCCCCTGCACTGAGCGCAGCCCTGCTTTCAGTGCCTGGGACCATGGTGGCACCTTTGGCCTCTCTGTCCTTCTGGACTCTACAAAGTGTTGAGTGCTGTGTCTACACATGCAAACTCAAGAAAGTTTAGGGACCTGACTATGACTGCCCAAGCAAGAAACAGCTAGAGTATAGCTGGCATGGATCCAGCCCACACCGACCAGTTAACATGGACACTTCCCAGACATCATGTGGCCATCAGAGACCATTCCCAAGAGGTGTTTGCAGGCAGCCACCTGTAGTGGAGACTAAAAGGACTTCCTAGACTAGACTAGATGGAGACCAGTTGCCAGTTGGCCCCAATGCCTAGAAACATCCTTGGCACATGTAAAACTGGTCTAGGCAGTACCAAGTTGTGCTCAGTCACTTGCTCCTGCAGGGCACCTGCTTTTTAGGTCCTATGATTTCTATGTTGGACACTGTTATGTGGCCCTCAGAGGCCACAGAACTAACAACAGGTTTGGAGATATGGTGGTTCCTACTCCGTATAACTCCCCCCCCACACTTGTCCTTCTGCTATGTCACATTTGGTTTTTAAATGACACTAACAAGACTGGAACTGTGATGGATCCAGCAAGAGATCTCAGCATCTAACATGCAACTTATTTTCAGCTAGACGCAGACTATGGAGAGCCACTCAAGACAAAAACATGTGATGAAAATGTACTATAGAAAAGTCAATCAGAAACCTGAAGAAGGATGGAGAATGGAAATATCTTACTCTTCCTTTCCTCAGGGTATTGTGGGGATAAGGCTTGCAGACAGCTGCACGAGGACTGCTTCAGCAGCTGACAGCACAAGGTTCTGTGTGGGGGAAACACCATATAATTACTTTGTGCCAATCACAAGAAATGGGAGGCAGGTAATCTGGAAGAAAGAGACAATGAATGATGTTGTAGGCTTCAGAAAGAGGTCAGGTCATCTAGAGCAGCTACTCTGATTACTTTACCACAGCCAGCTTTAGTAAGAGGAGCACGAAAGACTTTGCTGTAGGAAGCCTTCAGAGTTTCCAAATCTAAGGTGGCTTCTAGTGGTTAGTGAGACAACCTCACAACCCCACCGGAAGAGCCAGCACATTATTTTTGACAAATTAATCCAGCCACTGCAATGTGTTGTTTTATCCTTTGTAGCTCAACATTGCAAATCCTTTTTCAAAACATATCTTCTTTTATCCTTATAAATTGCTCTGCAATAAAGCTACTTGTTTTGACACTCTATAATAAAACTTGGGATTGTGTTCCCATAGGTGCTGTGGTTCCCAGCATGCATGTGGGGACATTGCTGTAGCACCATCACCAACCCCATGGACTTCCCCAGTGTATCTGAAGGGCAACAAGGCATGACTGGCTCTCACAGACTGTGGCACCAGGGTGGGGAGACATGTGGTGGGCACACAATGTTAACAGGAAACCCTTCTGATGCTCATG